GTCTGTGGGTGAACACTCATTTTCACTCCACTTTGCTGAATGCATTTCTTAATTGATTGCGTTTCACAGACCATTTCAGTTTTCATGCACGAGTGAAGCTGAGAAAACGTCCGTCCAGGTGGAAAACAAACAAACGCTGCGTTCAGCTACGATTTCTCCACTAATCACTGATGTATTATTAAAGTGGTCGGACATTTGAACTGCAGCCTTTTACCGGATCCACGCCTCCTTCTCCTCCTCCTCCTCCTCCTCTTCGTCCTCCTCCTCCTCCTCCACCACGCGTCCTAATAAAGAATAAAAGTCCTGAAAATGATGTGAACGAACGGGGATTTAACTGGAGTCCAATCCTGGAGCTCTGCGGTTCTCCTCACTGCTGTACATCACATTAGAGTGGAGCGTTTGAACGGCGGAGCACACACACACACACACACACACAAACACACTGATTGGTACACACATACAGGTCCTCACAGGTCCATCTGAGACACAGAGAAAACTGTTTTTTTCTTGAGAGAACATAAATATAAGTAAATATATGTATATATTTATATATGTATGTGTATGCATAAATATAAACAAATGTTTATATAATGGAAAAAAATTACCTAGATATATGTACTGTATGTATGTATAAGTACATATATACATGCACACATATATGTAAGCAAATATATGTTTATATACATATATATGTACATACATATTTATGCATATATATATATACATATGTCTGTATATATGTATTCATACATATATACATACATATATTTACATATATGTTACATGTATTGTAATGTAATATATTTAAGTATATATGTATGTGATTATACATACATATATATGTATATATTTTATGACGTAAGGGTTCATTATAACTTGACTAATTTTGAATCGTTACCATCGTTTTAAACAACAACAAATACAGGATTGGTCGTCCACGTTATTTGGTCTTTGGTCCAAAGTTCTGGACTCGGTCCCGGTGTTGTTGTGACATATGGCACCAACGGTACTGAAGGTTTTTCGTGCCACTTGTTATTGACTTGTAACCAAGTC